CATATGTTAGAATTTAATTTCTTATGTCAAAAAGAATTTTAAGGTTATGTCTTTATAAAAATACTTACTTCTTCATTGATGACAGTTGCATTGCTCAAAGATCGAAGTGCAGATGTTATTTTACGACCCAAATCCGCAAGAACCATTTTGCTATCGGTTTTTGATTTTTACTCAAATAAAGACGAAATTAAATCTGCACAGTTGTTATTCAACTTTTGCCAACACACTACAGTGACACATTCGGCTTTCGATATAAAATTAAACTGAATATTTGTATTTATTTGTTTAAGACTTCAGATTTTTTATTTTTTAACGAAGAATCACGTTTCTGGAAGATTTTTGACATTAGAATACTTCTTTGATACTCTATATAAATCATGAAACGAATATAAAAAGTACAGGTTGTTATGTTAGAGTTAGTCATTGGTAACTGTACGAATAGATCATTAACATCTTGTTTTTATGGTTCCATATTATTTTACAATGTTTTGTTACATTATAAGTATTTTTTCAAAATTTTAAAATATAGTTTGTTTACGTTCACTGCTATTATTAACATAAAAATATTTAATCATTTAAATGTTAATAATATGTTCATATTAATTGGTATCATTAATTTATTTAAAAATATTTACACTAGATAAAAATAATTTACAAAGTTGCTTATAACACCTTGAAAAATATTTCAAGAATAAGAGGGTAACACATATTATAAACGGGGTTCTTTACTGTTAGTCTTTTAATAATTTATTTACTTTACAAAGAAATTAAATTTTACAACCGAGGATTAAAAAAATTTCAATATTTCCATAGTAAAGTATAAATTATATACTTCAGCAATTTTTAATATATTAATTACAAAATATTGAATATTGAAATAAGTTAAATATGAAACTTTATAACCTTACTGGTTAAAACTGTGAAAATTTTGTTTGTGAAGAAAATATACAGTGGATGTAGAAAATATTCGTCAAATAAACAAAAGAAGAATATTCGCATTGTTTATGTAATTATGAATGAAAATTGATAAAATAGCAAAAATAAACGCCTAATAAGTATTCGTACAGTTCGTAACTTATTATGATGCATATTCCAAAGATTATTTAGAAATTGTTTTAAAGTTAAATTAAGGCTTTTATATGTTAATTTGGTCACTAAGTTTGTAGCTTAGATTGTCTTTTTTTATGAAAATGCTGTCTACTCAATTCTTATATGAAATCACCTTTCTACATTTTTATTTGGTTAAAGGAATTGTGCTTTATCTATGTTATGTTTTGTTATTTTTATTACATCAAAAAATATATAAAGGAAATAGTTTTACTTAGTAAATCTTCAAGAACTAAACAAATGAGATGAACCTTATATAAATTTAAATAAAAGTAGGTGGAGATAGTTCCTAGAAGGAATATATGTACATTCATTATATAAAACATGTTACACTAATATAAAATTGATTGATGGTTTATTACCTAACAAATTAATTGGAAATTATGTTATCAATTCTTAAAATAAATACATTTCTAGAAAATTATGTACATTTGTAGAAGGCATACTTTTTAAAGAAAATATATATTATTCGTCTCTCATTCAAATTGTTTTATTGAAAATGTAATCTCTCATTAAAAATGTTTGCACTGATTAACTTTTAAAGTTTCACAATGCAGGAGTTATAAATGTCACACTTTTCCCTATGAAATAATTTTGAATATATTCTGTTTAAATGATTATTGCACGTATCTGACATTAATGTTTTTGTAAAAATAACATATAAAATGAAGGAAAAAAAATTACAATACTAAGTGTGTATTGTACCTTAAAAAAAAAATATACCCTTCAAACTATTTGCTACTGAATATTTGTCTTATTTTATGTTGCATTTTGCTAAAATACAGCATATTTATTATGAGTAATATTTTTTTATATATGTTTAAAATGAATTTTAATGAAAGATGTTATAAAACATGCAAATATATGTATAAGAATAGAATGACAATACTCTAAAACCATGTTCTTTATTTATGAAAGTTGTTACAATATACTAGTACAATTACTGAAAATATTTTAATTAAAAGGTTTGCATACAGGAATTTTAATCAATATAAATAATAGAGAATAATTATATACAGCAATATATAATGCTAATATGTATTGTCACATGTAAGATGTAACATGTAATTATATGTATTCTACATGTAAGAATAAAGAGATAATATAGAGTAAACTTTGTTCATACAGTCAGTATTATTATTTTATACACTTATTGTTTAATCTTTGTTTAACTATTACAC